CGCCCCTGCAAAAAAAAGTTTTTATAAGAAAAAAAGGATTATGTAAACAGACAAGGGTTCAAAAAAAGTGGCTATAGTTATCACAAACTTTTTATAGACCCCAATGTGGGTTTTAACAAATGTTAAGTAAGATAAACTGTTATAAAAAACTATATCTAAAATATTATAACTATCGTCAAAATATGAAGAAAAAAATTCTAATTGAACATGTACATTAAACTTGTTCATGAAACATGAACATGAAAGAAAATCAAATCAAAATTAAACAGAAGCAATAAAATCCCAGCAAACAATAGACGTCTTTTAGACTGTCTAAAATTGGTCTAATTTGTATCTATTGCCGATACGTATATTTTAGACGTATATTAGAGATCAAAAAGACGTCTGATTCTAGAGATACTATTTTTGCTCTGTTTTAAATGCATATTAGATGCATAAAATAGATCGCGCATAGATAATTTTTTTTTCATCTAAACTTAGATGTCTATAAGATGTCTTATATAAATTTGTTATAAAAACAAGAAAAAAATATCAACTAATTTTACGGAGCGACAATTATAAATGACCGCCATTTAAAAACCATGCTTAAACTTATTACGAAAAAAGCATGAAGATTTTAACCTATGGAAAACATTAATAATTATTTCTATTGATAAATTTTAAATAATAAAATAACATGCTATTATAGTTCACAAAATATTTCGATGATTTGATGCTTAGCATGTTTGCTAAAATCCTTGTGATTTGAAATTTATTTTGCAGAAATATTACAAAATTAATATTTTTAAGTTGATATTTTTATTTCTAGAATAAAAGATAATGTAATTAAAATATATATATATATATATATATATATATATATATATATATATATATATATATATATATATATATATATATATATATATATATATATATATATATATATATATATATATATATATATATATATATATATATATATATATATATATATATATATATATATATATATATAATACCAACAAATTTATTGTTGTTTTTCTGCATGTTTTTCTAACCAAGTAATTATGCACTAAACAAGTGGATTGATAAAGAATACCAACAAATTTATTGTCCCAAAAAAAAACTATAATCATGCACTGAAAAACAACCTTTTGTCAACAAAAGAATGGCACAAATTTCCATTGATAAAGTGTAAGATAACAGATAGTCAGTATCTAACTTGTTTTGTATTTTTTTTAAATGTAACTTAATTACTTTTTTGTAGCAAAATGTTTTATAATTAGATTCATTTTCATGTTGCAAAGAATACAACTTTCTACATCAGATGAGATATATGTTAAAGAAAGCATTAAAAATAAGAATAACAAATCATACTGCTCTTCATTGCCTCCTATTATAAATAAGCCCAACGCTAAAAGTATAACATAAATATCATAATTTTTTCTTAATGGTTTATAAACTGAAATAAATTCTTGTTTAATTTGATCTGAATAATATCTATTTAGCTATTAGTCTTTTTTATGTATTACTAAGATTTTCCTTTTATTTTAACTATTTGGGTGTCCTATTATATGTAATGTTGTTAAATTGGTTACATATATTTATATCATGGACAACATTCTATTGTATTAAATAATCCTTTAATCAACTTGGTATGAAAATTGAAAATTGATCGAAAGCATGCTGAAGTTGTTTGAATTCAGAAATTGAAAGAGTACAAAATTGGTTGAAAGATTAAATTAAATAACAGGTATGGTTGAGGGATTATTTATAGTTCTAATTATAATTTTCTCTTTTGAATAGAGTTGTTATCAGATTCAAAGATTAAAGAAGATAATTTTTCTTCACATTTTATTGATGAACACCAAGCAAAGTTCACATTGTCAAAGAGTTTTAAGTTTTAATGTGAGTAATTTTCGTTTTTACACCACTGAATGTTAATGTGGAGGTCTTTTTTATTAATTTGTTTTTGTATTAAAATAATTGTAAAAGATAGGTATAAAAGAATAGAAATGGATTATTTATAATATTGTGATCCGATAAATCATGTGTGTAGCATTTTATCTTTAGTAGTTAAGCAAAATTCTTTAATATCGTAGCCTTTTACAGGATAAAGTTTTAGCTGATTTAAAAAGTAGGTTTTCCAAAATATTATGGCAACTTCTGCGATGGAGTAATAAAAAAACTTACATGTATTTTTGAAATTTTAGTTTAAGTTACTCAAGCATAATTTGAATTTTAAAGTTCTTATTTCATTGTTTTGCTATTTGGTTTTATGAGCTAAATATGTTAATCAATCTTTTTATTCTTGTTTGTAGAGATGCAAAATGTTATTCTCAAGGAGCTTGCAAAAATAAAAGTTCTTTTAAAAAAAGTTATAGAAATTAAGTTTCAGGCTACTGGGGTGAAGTTGCTAGAATCAGTGGACGAAGTGGTTACACTGGATAATAAACTAAAAGATATAACCGAGTATACTAATTTGATAGTTTTAAAAAACATGTTCTCTTGGAAATCCAAGAGAACATGTTTTTTGATTATGTTTTTATTAATTATTAGAAATACGATTAAAAGGGACCAAAAGCAATTCTTTTTGACCGTTATTTGTTATGTATTTACTTTTAACATGACAATTTGATAAACTCGGGAGCTTCGCTGTAGGTGTTTAAGTTTGTTTGTGTGCTAAAGTAAGTGTAATGCTAAACCTTGTTTAGCATTTTATTTTCAAATTTAATGCTTTTACCTTTCATAATTTTAAGCATTCATTTATTAAAATATATTTTAATTTATTACATATATTAAAATAAAAATCTTTATATATTTCAGTTTATTGTTAAAATATTTATAAGGTTATTTTCGAATCAGTTACAGACCAAATTAAATCTATCTTATAGATGTCTTTTAGATGCATTTTATTCGACACAAATAAATGCCTTAGATGCATAAAAGATGTGAAATATACATTTAAAGATGTATATTAGATGTATATTAGATGCATAAAAGAGCTATTATTAACTAAAAAATTATCTATTATCTATCTTTTTTAAACGCGCCTTAGACATCTATTTAAGAGACGTATTTTATACATCTAATATGCATCTGTAAGATGTATATTTCACATCTTTTATGCATCTAAGGCAATTATTTGTGTCGAATAAAATGCATCTAAAAGACGTCTATAAGATAGACATTTATTTATGTTCCGTTCACAACGTGAATTTAGACGTCTTTTAGACCAGTTTTTAGATGCATATCAGATGCATTTTAGATATTTCTTTCTTTGCTGGGACTTGTTTGATACAAAGGGGTTACAGCGGTTTAATTAGTTATAAAAAAGGATTAAATTAAATAAGTAAAGAAACATTTTAACTAACATTACTTAATTTTTATTTCACAAAAATATACATAAGAAACTATGTTTCTGCATTGCCGTCAACATTTTCTTCCACGTCACTGATATCTAAAATATATACATTAATGACATTTAAATGACTTTAAAAGACATGTAGAATTCTGAATCTATTTTTATGAAATATATATACATATATATATATATATATATATATATATATATATATATATATATATATATATATATATATATACACACACACACACATACCTTATCGGACAAAACCAGTGCAGCCAAATGATGCTAATTTAGTTTCTTTGTATAAAATTGCTGCATTTTTTCAATTTAGAGAAATAACTATGTAACTGTTTAGAGACAACGTTCTTCAAATTTTATTCATCACAAAGTTTATTATTTGTACACGAAAATTAATAAATTAATCAAAAGTATTAAAAAAAGTTGATTTCCTTCTGGACAAAACAAGTGCAACTCCACAAAATGTTGACCAAGCTGTATTCATATCAATATTTTGTGGTGAATCCTTTGTTGTCGATCACAGCCTTGCATCTTTAAGACATAGATTCGATCAGGTGATCAATGAAACTTTGTGGAATCGCTGCCTAGGCCTTCTGGATTTGTTCAAACAGTTGATCCTTATTAAGAACACATTCATGATTAAATCTGCGGTTGACAATCTCCCACAGGTTCTTGATAGGGTTGAGATCCGGAGATTGAGGCGGCCAATCCATCACTAATAGATGGTTTTCTTGAAACCACTGCTTGACTACTTTTGCAGTGTGTTTGGGATCGCTGTCTTGCAGAAAAACCCATTTTATTGGTATATTCCATTCAGCATGAGGTAACATAACATCTTTCAGGATATTTTTATACATGAAACGGTCCATTATTCCATCGATTCGATGTATTGGACCTA